TCTTTCTCTCTCTCTCTGACCAGTGTAATCAATCTCTCCATATTTCTTTCCTTTGATAAAGTCTGAGAAATGCAATGGTAGCCGCCAGCATGTGTGAAACAACTCCAATCCCATTGGCCCACGTAGCCCGTGATGTCACAGGCAGGCGCCTGGAAGTATAAAGTATGAAGTGACTGCCGAACACGCCACCAACTTGGTTGTCTGAAGGAGACGTGAAAACAGGCAAGCCGTAGGCATGGCGAGGGGATGCAGCGTCTCATTCTTTCTCGGGGAACCATGGTTAAATGCATAACCCGAGACGTTCCCCTTCTAGGGAACTCGCACGGTGTCCTCTGGTGGACACTATAGGGAACGGATTGTCCACTCAGTCATGCTGCAGCGACTGCCTGTTCGCCTGGTGAGAGAGCACCAAGAAAAGAGACAGATATACACGAACCTTCCCTCAGAAAGTGGGCAAGCCACTGATGCCTTGGGCCACTAAAATAACTCGGAAAAATGGGGAACCCAGCCAATCAGGTGGGACACTCCATTAACCAAGCTAAGGACACAGCTATGGAAGATAGACAAATGTGAACGGAGCTTTCTCATTGGAAATTCTCACCGAATGTGCTTGCTCCTCACCAAGACATGTAGCGCATAGGTCGAGTGTGTCCTCGGGTGTCAGAAACGTCAGACACGGAGACACACACTTTCTAAAACGCTCACTTGCCTTGGTTTCTCCACATGCACAGACAAACAAACGGCTCCTGAAGACAACTAAAGTTAGTGATGTGTTCGGCAGGCGCCCGCCTGTGACGTCACGGACTACGTGGGCCAATGGGATTGGAGTTGTTACAACAGTGCTTTAGGCGGCAGTCCCCATAGTGTCCACTAGAGGACGCAGCGCGAGTTCCCTAGAAGGGGAACCAGTTTTTTCATGCATTACTCATTTTTGAGATTTATGGCCTTTCATAAAGCGTTTTTTTTTTTCAGACTAGAGGAAAGAAAACATCCAAAATACACAATCAAGTGTTTCTTTTATTGCTCTTTATCTATTTGCGTCTGTAGATTTCAATCTCTTACACACACCAAACTTTACAGTTTTATTCCTCTCTATATTGAGAAGGTTTGTTCATATTTCACTCACACTGATTTATACAACATTTGACTCCTAAAACATGGTGAAAATGTGTTTGTTTTCTGTCTGTTGACAGTATTTTCTGATTTATGGAGTGATAAAAAGAGAAATCCAAAATCTTAACTCTGATATGACGACAAAATCAGACAAGAATTATGAACCTGCTTTATCCAATGTTCAGATTTATTATATTTTTTGGTGCATATTTAATTAGACAATGCCTCATTTGCATATTAAAAACATAACATTTCAGAAAACTTGTAATGTTTGTAATAAACAACGCTTACAATTCTTAATGTGATTTGTTATTTTTTTTTACCCTATTCAACTTAAAATAATGATGAGCACAGATAAATAATTTATAATAAACACTGCAATCTTCCAAAACTAATAATAACTGGTGATTTATAGTGAGCGTGTGGTGAAGGTGATTCTGGGAGGAGATTCGGGCTGCAGAATGAGGGTGTATTTGGTGTTCAGCTCTTCTGTGGATGAGACCGTCAGTTTGAAGTTCCTCAGAATCTACAGAAACACACACACACACACACACAGTCTGATCATCATCAGGTAACATGATTTACTCAAGCAGAACATGCTCCTGGATCCCTGTTGGACCTGAAACAACATTATCAACCCTGTCAATAAGTTAGGGTTAGATTAGAGTTAGTCTCAGCCTGGATGACTATAAACAACAGCTCAATCTGATGTGTTTTTAGCTCAAAGTGCAGCAGTTCACCTGGAAAGCTGTTTGTAAAATATTCATACATTGGTCCATTATATAGTACAATAAAAATAATGGTTTGGGATTAACAATTTTCACTCAGAAATTGCTGGTAAATTTCACAAATTATTTCAAAGAAACGCCAAAGACCACAATGACCACAATTAAATATGAAATTTTGAAGTAGAAAGACTGAAATAGTACTTCCTTGTAAAACATACTCCCATCATGCGTTTTATTTAGAAATAAGTTTACTTTTTTATATTTGATTTGATTTCAGTTAATGTTTCAAGTTAGTTTAATAACCCTGAGTTTAACTCGGATGAACCCGACACGTCTCAGCGTCTCTCTAGGTTATGAAAATTAGAGATATATTTCCTAGTGCTTCTAAAATATACTCTTTAACACAAACTATCTAATATGCTTGCAGTGCTATTCGCACTTCTGGTTAGATGTTTCTGTGTTTGATTGGCTCTGTAATCTTCACAATGACAATAAAGTTGAATCTAGTCGAAACAGCATGTAGAAGCAGAACGCAGGTGGATGCTTCTCACATCAGAATCAGGATGAGGGTTTGTGCGCTGTTGTAAATCCTGCGTCACTCACGTGCATTAACAGCAGCTGCATCTCGTTCTCTGCGATTCTCCGGCCGACACACTGCCTGGATCCGAAGCCGAACGCCAGCGAGCGAAAGCCTCCTCCTGAAGCCGCGTCCAGACTCCAGCGGCTCGGCTCGAAGCGCTCCGGACGCTCGAACACTTCAGGACTGCGACCCAGAGGATACAGACACACCTGCACCAGCGTCTGAAACCAGCAGCAGACCACACCCAGTCATTTCAGACCCGCTCCCGACGAATGTTCCACCAATTCAACATTTCGACTTCGATGTTATAACTTTAAAACATAACATGACTGAAGTAACATTCTCTTTATGATCCAAAGTGCAGCACACATGAAGTTCAACATGGTGCAAACGCAAAACAAATTCACTTGTTGAATATCTTTGCAGAACAGATGCATGAAATATGAAGTACTAACATATCCTACATGTTCAGAAGCAATTGTAAATAAGAAAAATGCAAAATATTTCTGAGCCAAAACATTGAGTTTTGGAGGTCGACTCAAAAAGTCCAAATGATTCATCCCTCGTCTCACCCCTGCCGGCACGTGGTAGTTCTGCAGGACGATGTCTCGGACCGGATAGCGCTGGACGGTGATTCCTACGGGATACAGCCTAAACACACACGCACACACACGCACACGCACACACACGCACACGCACACACACGCACACGCACACACACGCACACGCACACACACGCACACGCACACACACGCACACGCACACACACGCACACGCACACACACGCACACGCACACACACGCACACGCACACACACGCACACGCACACACACGCACACGCACACACACGCACACGCACACACACGCACACGCACACACACGCACACGCACACACACGCACACGCACACACACGCACACGCACACACACGCACACGCACACACACGCACACGCACACACACGCACACGCACACACACGCACACGCACACACACGCACACGCACACACACACACACGCACACACGCACACACACACACACACAAACAAGCACAAGCACACACACACACACAAACAAAAACTCACTCACACACACACACACACACACACACCATCAGCTCAAACACAGGAGGAGATCCTACTGAGGACCTTCTGATGCTCTTTTGCCCTCAGCGGAGAGTGTTCCTTGTGTTTCACTTGTCACTATAAACAAAACAACCCTGAGAAAACTGCAGCCAGAGAGATAAGACACACAAACACACACTCACTCACACACATACACACTCAAAACCACACATACACACACACTCTCACACACACACACACACACTCAAAAACTCACTCACACACACACACACACACACACACACACACACCATCAGCTCAAACACAGGAGGAGATCCTACTGAGGACCTTCTGATGCTCTTTTGCCCTTTTTTTTTTTTACTTACTCAGGGTTATCATAGTTAAACTAAAACTAATACCATTAAAAAAAAACTTGTTTGTTACTTCAAATAAAATGAATGTTAACTGAAATAAAAAAAAAAAATTTTTAAACTAAATCTTATTTCATTTCAGCTTGTTTCCAAGGCAAAATGTATAATTTTACTTAGCTTAACTTGATGTATTAAACTAAAACTAAAAATGAAACAAAATTTCTATTCTTTATACTTCACTATATATGTTCATTAAAATAACAACAAAAAACAGTAACTGCGACTTTTTATCTCACAATTTGGACTTTTTTCCCCGTGATTGCAAGAAAAAAGCCTGAATTATGAGATACAAACTCATTTTCATCTTCATTTTAGTTAAAAATAAAACAACTAAATAATAATACTAAATAATACTTATCTATTAATTCATTTAGAAAGTATAATGCATTAAAACACACAACAAACAAACCTTCAAATATTATTATGCATTTTAACTTTTGTTACAATTATTAAAGATATAATGCAACACAACGTACATTATGAATACCTTTATAATGCATTATACATAAAGGCTTTAAGTGTTACCAATGTAAAAATAAAATCTAATTCAAAATATTTCCAAAAACTATAATAGCATTTTCACTGCTTTTCCTAAAACAATTTATTTCTTGATTTTTACTGCATTTATTACAAAACTGATTCATTTATCACTTTAAGCTGCTTTGAATCAATCTCTATTGCATAAAGCACTATAGAAATAAATTGACTTGACTAGAAGCGCAGGAGATTAAGGAGGAAACTTTATATCGGCGACTGTATGTTACGTGTCTGACTCTTTACTGATGCTCTCTCTCTCAGCTCTCACCTCAGCGTCTCCTTGATGGTCCCCTTCAGCAGCGGCGCCCCCTGCAGGGCCTTCTGGGGGCTTCCTGATGCCTGTTGCCATGACGACAGCACCTGCGCTCGCACCCGCTCCTGCACCCCAGGGTTACGCGCCATCTCGAAGAGAGCGAACTGCAGCGGCACGGCGGTCTGGCACACACACGGAGTCACCGGTTCAGTTCACACAGTCTGATGTGACGCTACGCTGGACTTCATATTCATACAGACCTCGTTCATTAGTTTAAACGAAACACATCAGAACACAGACTAACATTTATTTCCTAATGTCACTGATGAATCACTTACAATATGAAAACATCAATTAATGAAATAGAGCTAGTTTTAATGTTGACTTTAACGATTTCTTTTTACAAAAGAGTAATGCAGTTGTACACATCATTCCTTGCACAAGCTGCAAAATTTTAATGATTTAAAAATTTTTTTTTAAATACATCGATACATACAATTCAGCCTTTTTTAATATGTATTTATATTTTGCAATTCTGACTTTTCACAATTGCAAGAAAAAATTGAATTGTAAGGGAAAAAGCAATAAAAAGTCACAATTACATTTTTTAATCTGCATATAGTTTTTTATATTTTTAATCAGTTTTTACTTTTTATATTTTCCGTTTTCATTTTCAAATTTGAGCAATTTTGTTGTGTTTTTTTTGTTGTCATTTTTGGCATTGACAAAAATAAATATGTCTATATAGTTTATATTAATTTTTTAGTTCTATTAGTACATCAAGTTCACCTAAGTAACCTAAATGAAAATGAATATTGCCTTGGCAATATATATTATATATATAATTTTATTTCAGTTAAAGTTTAGTTAGTGTAGTTGTAGTAAGTGTGATGGTTTGTTGTGAGTTTGTACCGTATCGACTCCGCCGGCCATCAGTTCAGTGATGTTGGCTTTGATTAGCTCTGAAGATAACCGTCCCGCCTCCATCAGCTGACCCAGCACACCCAGGAACCGCCCATCAGAGGCTCCGCCCACCGCCGTCTGCAGACGCTGGTACCCGCGCTGGATACGCGCCTCCGCTGCAAACACACACACACACTCACAGAACAGAACTCGTGCTGCAGGAGTGCGTGTGTGTGTGTGTGTGTGTGTGTGAGAGACGCACCGTGGCTGAAGATGTGGTCCCATGCAGTGGCGTGCTGTGTCCAGAGGGGGGCGCGCAGGGCCAGCAGCAGCCGCGGCGGCAGGTACAGCAGCGGCAGCGTCGTGGCTAACATGCGCTCAATGGCCCAGATGAAGCGCTCCGCCTCTTCAGACGGAGACGACGAGAACAGGCCAATGCGCTCGCCGTACAGAACATGACAGCTCGCTGGAGACACATTATTGATCTGATTGTGAACCATTCAGACATTTCTAATAATTTTTGGACCTAGTAATGTCATAACTGGATCTTCTTTCTGGTGATTTATGCAGGATTGGAGAAAGGGTGGGGTTTTGAGGAGAGGGCGGGGTTTGGGAAAAAGGGTGTGTTTTGGAGAGAGGTTGGGGTTTTGAGGAGAGGGCGGGGTTTGGGAAAGAGGGTGGGGGTTTTGAGAGAGGGCGGGGTTTTGGGAAGAGGGTGGGGGTTTTGAGAGAGGGCTGGGTTTAGGGCAGAGGGTGGGGTTTGGATGAGAGTGCGGGGTTTGTGAAAGAGGGTGGGAGATTTGAGAGAGGGCGGGGTTTTGGGAAGAGGGGGGGGGTTTTGAGAGAGGGCTGGGTTTAGGGCAGAGGGGGGGGGTTGGGTGAGAGGGC